GTGCCAATGAATGTAATAGAAGTGTAGTCGTGTGGCGTGTAGGCACATACGATTATTGACCCGTTTACGGAAAACTTATGCGACATTATTAATACTGAAAGGTGTCAACAATAATCACTTATAAGATATGAAATTAATGATATTAAATATAATATAACAACTATTTTAAATATAGGTATTAATTATGATGTTTCTCCATCAAAATTAAAATTACAAATAAATTATTTAAAAATACAAGTTTATTTTGTGACAGTCAGTCATTATACGAGATGAATTTCAATATTTCATATTATAAATAAGCATAGTTTTATCCAAGGTTAGCTTAATTAATTCCTTTAATTCATCATTTTACGCAAATCATCGAATATTAATTCAAAATTCTGATTATAAATACATATTATGATAACATTAAACTAAGTATTTTGGTATTCGTTATAAAATGTGAAGTTTGCTCTTATATTCAATGTAAGTTTTAGATAGTTTTATATTTTTTAGTTCTACTAAAGTTCATACTTAAGTTAATTCAGTATTCCTAGCATCTCATAATATTAATAATAATAGTATAAACTATAAACTATAATGTAAGTTGTTTTTACGTATGTTAATAAAACTCTTAATAGGTAATAGAATATTACTATAACACGGCGTCTTAGATAGGCAATTTAGCTACATCAACGCAGGTTATTAAAATCCATCAAAATAAATAGTGCTATACTATTAGTATGCTATAAATTATAAGCGTGTAAAAAGGATGAACTGAAAAAAAACAATTGTTTGTTAAAATGAAATTACGGAACACTTTTTACTGTACTTAGTTAAGTATATTAAGAGGAGGTCAAACCAACATAATATATTGTCTCCATCTTACAAACGTACGGCATAGTGCATTTTCGTCACCAATTTCAATGGTGTGCAGTTAGTTTTGATATTAGAGTGAATTGACCTAAAATTATAAAATGTAAACGTAAATTATATTTTTAAGTTAGTCATGAATTCATGATAATTTCAAAATGTGATGCGGGTGCTACGTTCTCTTGATATTGTTTTACTCTATTATTGTATATAATGTTGGAGTATTATGTCATTATTTATTTTTCTCTACAMGCATAATAATTATTAAAAATATAAAACAATACTACTCGGCATAATCAAATTTTCAATATTTGAATTTTGTTTACTTATAATTTAATGAAACAAACTTAAAAATGCAAAAATTATATGTAACTAATAAATTATAATTTACTATACAGAATGATTTTTATCAGATGTACTATTTGTTTTTATTTATATTATTTGTAAAGCGTGATTGTTAATAAACTAATACATTTTCATAAACAATATATTTTCACTGACCAGTAAAAATGGGATGAAAATCGATTAAAAACTAAGAGAGGTTTGATCGTAAAGTGAATGTACATAACACATTTTGTGAGAAAATCGTTAACTGCGATCTATTTTAATGAGCTGTTTGTATAATATGACAGCATTAGCAACTAATCGATCGCCAACTAGTGAGTTTTACAAGTGTAGTAGTTATTATAACGCGTTTAATTATGGCAATTGAAATAAGTGGTTAGTGAGGCCCTCACTCTTATTCGGTTTCACCTTTTTTTCGACTCATCAGGTTATATTATTACCAGCTGTTCACATAACGATAATTATTGTTGAAGTTTTTGTTTTTCTTCAATATCTCTACATCAGCTAGATATATCAATAGATGATTGCAGGTAAAAAAAATAATAATTAAACTACGTGTGTGGAATTATTGAACACTTTGAGTGCTAATGGCATTACTTAGAAAACTTTGCTAGTAAATTACAAATTGATTCCACTAACATCCCAAGTTCACCAAACAACAACAACAAAAATAACAACAACAACTACAATAATAACAATGTGCAGATATCATATCACTACAATGTAAAGCACGTGTCTTGAAGCGTTTAATATAATATATTGTTATTATTGCGTGTGTCCTAAACTATTCTGAAAGTTGCAGCCAGCGCAAAAGTAAACTTATTAAATTTACATTTGACTCATTAACTGTCGATAAGTGATATATACGAATGATCATATTATAATTTATATATCTTATTGTATTATAATAATATAAAACGATATATGTCGGGTAGATTAAGAATTTAGGACGTTCTCGACTTGTCACCCAATTCGTTGAATATTTGCCTCTACTCCACTGGACACATACTCACCATCATTTAAATAATATAATGTACCTATAAATATTATAATATATTCATGAGAATGACACTTTTGGTCAAGGTTAATTTTTTTTAACTTTAATCTTTTGTAAGTATCTTAATACTTCAAGCATTCATCATTCCGTAATCCTTGGTGTCGCCGATTTTCTTGAGAGAGGAAATGAATCGCCAAATTCTTTGTAAAATGGACAAACAGGAAGAGGAAGGTAAAATGATCATGTCATTTATGAAATGTTTATGATAAAATTTCTTCGAATAGATTATATTGTACACTGGAGAAGTAAAATGGCAAGGAAAAGTAAAGCGTGTTTAAAAAGTTTCTGTAAAATCAGAAAAATAAGCAAAACAAATTATCAATTAAAAATTTATTAGTGATTTTTTTTTCTCTATATAAACATTTGTTTTCATTATGAAAATATGAATTATTGTAAAATCAATTTTCACATATAGGAAAACTAATACATAGTATGGTTTAAGATTTTGACTTTTAACATCATGCATATAATATTAAATTCACATTTTTTTCCAAGAATTTAGCGACATTACACTAATTTAACGTTTAATATATATATATATATTATATATTTATATACATATATAATATTAAATGTTTTCATAAATATATTAGTGCAATTACACTATTGCTACTTTTTATTTTTCATAAAATATAGAGACACGTATATAAAATAAAATTTATCATGAGTAAGAATATATTATATTAAAATCAATAAAATCTAATACATATATTATAAATGCTTAAAAAAAATTGATGATGATGTTAATAATAATAATAATAATAATAATAATAGTTTTACATAGAACAATAAAGTTGAATCCTAAAAATTAACAAAATAAATTGTAACACTTTCTGAAAAACAGTTTCCGCGTAATAAATACACTTGTGCAACGGAAAAATTGCGAATAAATAGGAAGTCAATTTTATTTTTATTTTTTTTGAAACTTTGAAACTTTTGGGACACACACCATCAATTTTCGATCATTGATCACTTTTCGTCAAGGTGTTTACAAGGCCAGCACAAATAATGATAAGATTCAAGTGTCACTGATTAAGGATGTGCCAGATACTATTTATTAATGAAATTATATAATTTTTTCCCCTGTTTATTGTCGCCATTGACTGAACATGCTAAGAAAATTTAACGCGAATTTTAAGACCTCTTTTCGAAATCCACGACAATGGGTCAGGAGTATACATGCAATGGCGCCAATTCAAGCTAAAGCCAAATAATAGCCAAACCCTGCCAACAGATATTATTATAGAATCCCATATTCACCTTCTCATGCTTTTTTTTTATTTTTTGCGAAAAAAGGGTAAGGGAAACGAGAGATTATTATTTTTCAAACTCACACCATAATTTTTTTTGATAATAAAACAAAACATAAATACTTTTCGTGGAAGGAAAATATATTTTTCAAATTCAGAAAATTTAAAACACTAGGTGTAACCACATAAGTGAGTTGACAATTGAAACACTGGAAGCTGATTTCTATGGAAATGTTTTGATTTATCACGGAGACATTTTCAAAACAATAATTGCGATCAAACCTGAACAAAAGGCACGATACGGAGCGTCTCGCAGTGGAGGTAGAGAAATAAAAAAGATTAGGAAAATCAGAAAAAATTAGGTATCCACGGGTGCACGATAAATATTATTATCTTATGTGCTATTAAAATATATACCTATGTTTAGTGTATATGGATAAATTATATGTTTTATGTTAACCAATGTTTATTTACCGTGCAGACTTTAACATTTTAAGGACTAAACATTTAGCTTATAATATATTATTACTGCAAGGGAAAGACGACGTTGAGATAAAAAACCAAAAAAAAAAATGAAAAGAAAAGAGAAAGATACAATTCCACCCGAGATCTGAGACATCGTCCCTTAGTCATAAAACATGTAAAGGTCTTTAGCTCTGCGCTCGCGATCGAATATATATGGTACACAATAAAGGTACGTCAAAATCCTTCACCCTCTCAACCCTTCACAGACTACGTGTACTTTGGCTCAGTTCGGTCAGACGAAAATGTGGTGCGGGGTGTCTGTCGAGGCGCAAGGACATCGCAGTGGCGTAGATATAATAATAATATATCCACGAATGCGCGGGGTCAGTTGGGTGGATAGGACGTATACCTAATAAATATTCAAAGTATATTATGTTGTTCTCAACGTCAGATTCTGGTCGTAAAAACCGTTTTATTGTTAAGGCAGCGGCGGTGGTGGCGGCCACACAGTGTGTCACAGAGTGTACACTTTATTATTAAAATGATAAAATACGAAGGAAAAAATGAAATGTATAGAAACCGAATAAATCATGCGCCGGTGCGGCTTGTCATATAATATATAATATATATATATACACACACCGGTATATACGAAATTGCATAAGCCAATATATTTTCATGCCAAGCGTTTTTCTTCTTTTTTTTTGACATTTATAAGTATATCACGAGTTCAATGTATAATATATAATAATATGAATACTTATTATTATATGTTATATGTTAAAGGTAAGTATGCAGTAATCGTTTCGTTTCAAGGATGAGGAGAGCCTATTCTCACGTCGCTAGTATAAAACAATTATAGGCAATAATAGATATAATTATATAATATAAAGTAATGGTAATATTGACATACATATTTTACAATAATAATAATATTAATAATTAATGTTATATAATATTTGATACATTTTACATCATTCAAATATAATACGCAATTATATTTTAACTACCCGTTCATCAGATCGATGTTGTTTTTTTTATCCACTTAAACAATCATAATCGCACAACATGCTGTATATATTAGTATAACATATTGTTATAACTTATAAACCTAACAATACCTATCTATGTAATATATTATTGGGATTATCGTTACTAGAGTACGCGTAAAATATTATATAGAATATAGTGTTAGAGTATTTAGATATTTACAGTAACGTAATGTTATTACGGAGAAGAAATAAACCTTAAGCGCGTAAATAATTTTACATTAATTTTTTTTTTTATATTCTTCAGAATATTTTAGCCATCGATGCGCAAATAGGATACGACTACGTATTTTAAAAGTGGAGGTGGTGGTGGCGGCAAAAGCGGAGACTGTGTCTTTGGCGAAAAAACAAATAACAATAATAATATGTCGACGCAACAATAATAATATTATAAAAATATTATTATTATTATTATTATTTCGGAATGACGGGATTGTGTGTCGTATATAATGTAATATAAACACACTGTTTTGCGCACTGCGGTGGCGACGGCAGACATATTATTTTAGTCTCACTCTCCACCGAACACGGGAATATTACACACAGCCGTTGCCGATGAATTGGACGACTGCGACAAAAGCCAAATATTGTGTGTCTGTCTGTTCACGTATCATTTGAAAGAGATATACACGTCGAACGTGAGTTGTGTATGTGTGTGTGTGTTCAATATGACGTATATATTACCTAGAAAAGAGTGGCAATGTTATTGGAACGCCATAATCGCGAATGAAGCGTGTTATCATAACTGTATTTGTTCATACGGATTCGATACAGATATAATAGTTTATATAGATATAGAGTAAAAGGACTAGGATAGTATAATATATAATAATACGAGTATATTATTATTGAAATATCGTCGACGTCACAACGACATCAAGTGACATGTATTATTATAATATATAGGTCATATACAATAAAAATTAAACAAGCGGCCGGGGAATCGTGTGCCCCGATAAAACTATTTTAACGATGCGTGGATGACCGTATTACATTATACCGGAGTGATGGTGGCTGTATAATATAACTTATGTTATTATAATATTATGTATATATATAGAAAGATAAGATAGATCTGTTATTATAATATTATGCCGTGATGGCTTTAGTCATATAATACATATAGAAGCTTTGAATAGATCTATATGAAGACTGATCTAATATTATGCGACTGTTTGTATCGATCGGCGACAGTTATTATAGTCTAGCCGCGATCAAAGCGCCGGCRATGAGGGTCAGGAGCTGTCGGAGGAGGAACCCGTCGCAGGAGTGGGTCGCCATACCGCCACTGTTGACTATTTCCGGCGACGTCCGGACCACGATCGGTTCGGTGTATTCGCTGTAACCGGCCCGATTTCTTGCCAAGATTTTCGTTATGTATTCAGTGTTGGGCTTGAGGTTGACTAGTGCAAAAGGACCTGAAACATGCACCGCGCGTACCATCGTTTCGTATATTATCCAAAGTATAACGATTAATAGTAATAATAATAATGATACGAAACTGCCTCCGGGACTCAGCAGCAGGTTTTGCGTGTATAATAATTWAAAGACATACCTACATAGTACGACTGTTCAGTTAACTATAATATAGTTTGTAAGCATAAATATGTATGTATAGTATATTATAATTATTAGCAACGGCGTGATGAGATAGTCATAAATAATAATTATACAACAACTTTCTTTCGGCTCGGAATATATAGGAGGTACTTCTGCAGTTACATTATATAGGCTGTATTTGCGGTGGGGCTGGGTCGGTTACACGTACCTTCGGTAGTATTGAAGTTCATCATGTCAAAACTTTCGAAAGTGTTTCCGCTGGGTTCCACGACTCTCGTCACGTACTCGACTCTGTAGCCAATCAACTCGTCCCCTTCGTCATTGGGCAACACTTGCAGTTCGATGTAGTTGTCGCCGACACGCGCCACCGACAGACCGCTGGGCGTTTTCGGCTTGAACCCTTCGATCAGGTTGAACCGTCTGGTGATTTTGCCCAAATTATTCGTGGCCGTGCACGAGTACGATCCCAACTTTTCCGGTCTGTTGAACGTCACCTGAAAGGGCGTATAGGTATATAAACACGCGATACGTATAATACACTATGGTATAGGCCATGGGTCTTAGTATATTATTTCATAATATAATAAAATATGAACCATTAAAAAAGTTATAACACGAATCGCTGTGTGCACAGAGTGTAGATAATATTGACAACACGCAACGGTTCACGTATTGTATTATTGTATTGAAAATATAATATGGTATAAACTTTATTGTAATACGATACTTTAAAGAAATTCCATATTTGAGGAATATTTAAAATATTACAACAAGTGACAGTTTTTTCACACATTCCGCAAGGTCATCAACAATCTTCACTCTTAGATCCAAGATCCAATGATCATATAGTTTGGCTGCCAAGACATTATGGGACAGATATACCCACATTTGTACCCAATTTTTTAAAAGTGATATGAAAAAAAATTCTAAACGAATAATATTGTTTAAATATCGGATACACCTAAATGGACATTTGCAGACACGTTGAACAGAGTGTGCGGAAATTGGCAAACCGAGATGAAATTGATGTTTTACATTCTCAAAATACTGTAGATTGTTTAAATATTTATTATGCCCCTTGATTTGTATAGAACGTTGCACTTCACACGAACTCTTCGATTTAATAGTAAAGAAAGTATTTAACGATAAATGCTATCAGCGAAACGCTTTATGAATCAATGCCGTCTCAAATGTTTCCACCCGCATAAAATGTTTTTTAATAAGAATAAAAATGTAAATAAAAAACTTCATACAAACTTAGTGGTATTGTAATATATAATATAACACAATATTATACTAATTATTTGCGTTTTTAATATGGTGTTTTAATGTCGAGTGCTAATGCAAGTCGTGTGATAATAATTATATTCCAGTTAAAACCGTGAAGTTTTATGGTTTGGTTGTCTTATTTATACGCAACAGGGTTCGTACAAGCCTTCGAAATCATTACACATCTAGCGGGCGTATAATAAATATTATATCTCGGCCGTTGGTCCTCATTCTGAAACAGCACTGGTATGTGGCAAACACATTTTCGTGCATAATCTCCAGAAACGACACAATATAGGTTAGGTATTATGTTTTTTCTTGTCACATGCCATATGGCGAATTCATAGTGATAAACTATTATATATATTTGTGTGTGTGTGTGTGTGTGTGTGTGTGTAATAAAATACGTACAATGTAGTGGTCGGCTGGATTGATGAAGTATTTTCCGTTGAAACTCCACGACATGTTTGCTGCAGGTTCGGCTGAATTCTGACACGTCAAATTAACTGAGTCCGACTGGAATACGTATAGGTCAACGGGATCGCTTTCCATGTGGTTTAAAAACACCGGTTTATCTGTGCGGAAAAAAATGCGGTACAGTCATGATTATATTGGCCGAACGCAGACACTATAAAAGATATATCATTAATTATATGGGTGATGTTGTTTTATTGTCATGATATGGTTCTTGTATTGAAATTTATTGTATAGTCGACTAAGTTACTGGTCGATTTAGAGTACAAATAGTGTACATTTAATTTTTATTGATGATTGTGATATGTGTATGTGTGCGCTATTATCGTTATAAGGTTATGATCTAAATATAGTAATTAACTTAAAGAATGAATATTATGTAAAGTATAATCTTCAATTTACAATTTTATCTATAGATAAACATAAAAAACAAATATTGTAGACACATATTTCTTACAAATAAATTTACCGAAAGAATACACTATTTGAGTTAAGCGTATACAGTAAACTTTATTGATCTTTAAATTACAGACCGTATTTTTACTGTCAGTTTTGGATATATAAACCTGTCTGTTGGTGATAAAAGCCGATGTAAATTCTTCACTCTCTGCTATAATTAGTCGTAAATCCAAAGGTGTAGGTTATTAAAATATGTTTGATTTTTATACTCAAAATCTATCTTCTTAATACAAAATAWKAAAATTAAAAATATGAAAAGATCTATAAACTTAACTTAAAATTTTTAAAACATTTTAAGGCAAAATACTAATTCAGTAATATATTTTCATTATATTACGATTGGGAAAGTTTCTAAAATTAATTTTTTATTCATTCTGTGGGGAATTTAAAKTTATATTAACACTATGATGCATTTTGTGCTATGTTTGGCATGTAGGTGGTGTATTATGTCATAAGATACACAAATAATAAAATATATGAAATTATTATGATATAGTCTACTGACTACTATAGTCAGACGACAGAGTATACATATCCGTTTTATTTATACTTTCACGGTACGAGTAATTGAAGACCTTTTGTTTGAGTTTTAGAAAACCGAATATAGTGATAGAAATGTAATACCACAATTTATTATAATTTTGATAGTGGATGATATTTACTATTATTTAGTAATTATACTGTGTTTGCTATCAATTATTTTAATTAATATAATATTATTATACTATAGTGGAACTTACAAGTAGTAAATTGTAATCCAGAAAAAATACCTAAGACATTTTCCAATTGTTAATAGTTAACAATAATTCGTTTTTTGATTTTAAAAATTTTAATAAATTATAACTACTTATCTGTTTATTCTTTAGTCACTTACTCTTAAAAAAAGTTGATAAAATAAATTTAAAGAAAAAATCCATTTAATATCCATTAATTATTTAAGCTTTATGATATTTTAAATTGCACCAATGTGATAAAATCTATAAATATAATTTACATAATGTATTATTACGCACCTTTTTATTGAAATAACAAGATATTTTTAATTTTTAATTTAATTATTAAACAAACAATTTAGGTATTCTTTTTTTAAACATAAACTTTTCTTTGTTTTAAATGTAAAACACCTTTGTAAAGGTGTCAGATTGAGAGTGAAATTAGAACTCAACATAATCTCTAGTACTCCGAGTACTAGCAACCTAATATTCGGTGTGCTATTCATGATTCACAGACATATTATCATGGATCAGCAAATATATTTTTTTTAAATTATAAGTTTGAAATTTTTCGAAAATATTTTAATTTACGTTATAATAAATTTACCATGCCTCAATTTTTATTTATGATTTATATTGCCCATCATTTTTATAAAATAAGAAAATAAATGTATGGCTCTGTTTTAAGTTTCACAGAATTTAGCAGTGGTTAGATATTTTTAAGACCTACCGAATGATGACAAAAAACTTTTACTTCGCAAAAATAAATTTCAAAATATTAAATTATAATATAAAAATTAAAAAATCCATACGCGTCTTTTTTCATTTCGGCTTCAACAACTAACTTAGTAATAAAAATAAATATTGTACTTTTAATATAATATTGTTTCAGTAGTGAATTGTTATTTTCTTTTATTAAGAAATGTCACGAACGAGCTTATAAATATAGGTCAGATTCATCGAAAAATTATTTTCCAAAATATAAATTTGACAGTTGAGTGCAATACATAAAAAATAAATAATGACATAGTTTAGTTTGTAAAGGAAAGTCATAACGCACTTTTATTATATAAACAATTATAGGACTAGTCGGATCTCTTTATCACCAAATATACGTATGATAATGGTGTACAATGGAGTATTATTAATGTCTCACTTTTTTCTTATAAGATTATTGTAATTTATTAATTACGAATATAGGCACCCTTCATTTTGTTTGACATTGAATTAAGACAATCAAGTGCATACTCACGTCTGACTTTTAATTCGATTATGGTACTTCCGGAAACGCTAGACTTGTTAGTGGTCTCGAAAGCTCTGCAAGTGTATTTACCCGAATCTAGGTGTGTCACGTTCCGTACCATCAGTCCGCCATCGATGACTGAATACTTTCCGCCTGTGTGAGAGGAGCATAATAATGATAGATAGTATTATTAAATCATGTACCTATATTTAGTTTAGGAGTTTCTGACGATTTGACCTCGCCTAATTAAGTTCTTGATATTGTATAGTCTATAGATCTGGGCTTTCTAATAAAATGAAAAATTGGCAGAAGTTTATATCGTATCGGAAGTGGTAAGGATTAAAAACAAATCTACTGATTTTGTCGCGTCTTCCGTTAACACCAAATGGTTCTAGATCATTTAAAGATTTTATAAAAAATCGGCAGACAATAATTCGGACTTAAAAATAAAAGAAAAAAAATGTTTGAAGTTTATAAGGAAATCATTTAAAAAATATTTATTTATGTTTGAGTAAAATTTTTTTTCGCCATTGGCTCTATATGCTGAAAAAAAAATCAAGATATTTAAAAAAGATAATTGGTCAAACCAGCATAGTCATTTGGATTGTATATATGATTGGAATTTTCGAGACTGTTTAACGGTTTTAATAAGCGTCCAAAACACTATTATTAATTAATATACAACACAATAAATAACAATAATAATATTATTAAAATCGTACTAACTTGACGTTTTTTCTTTTAATGTCTGACCATTGTACGACCACATAAAAGTGGGGTTTGTGTTGCCTTTCACTTTGCACCTGATAAAGTAGTCGGTGTACTCGTTAGTGATCTGTTCAACGGGCGTGTCGAATTCTAATATTTCTGTCAACATAGTCACGTGGTATGGTTAATATTTTTTTTTACATTTCACATATAACTATAGAAGATTATATGGTATAACACAAAAATATAGTATCAATGAGATGACACCGCTGTCAACCTCCTACAGACGGGTGACCCCTCAAACGCGACACGGATTCAACACTGACATAATATTACACACGCTTCCTTAGAGGTCATGTATTATATATTTTCGTCGTCATCATGGAATGTGTGTGTGCTCATAACGTTTTCAAATACGCATTTGTATATATATATATATATATATATATATTTGCAAGCTCTCACACACACACACATACATACACTCACACTAGAATCGATTTTGTACGGCGGAATGATATACGAGGTCGCGTCGCTATTTTCATTACACGCGACATTGCTAATCCTAATTAACTCTATATTTCACCACAGTGCGATATCACGTCGTCGTCGTAGTCTTGGGTATAGAAACCAATTTTCAACACGAATCCTTAGTGGCGATTTGGACTTATTTCGTAGAGCGTATACGATAATATTCTACTGTTATTATTATATCGGTTTTATTACTTAAACAAAAAAATAAGGTACATATTGTATGTTGTTATTATTTATTGGTCTATTACGAATGAGAAACCGAAAAACGGCTAACGGTGTGGGCACGATGACAGGATTTTTAAATATTTTTTTTTTTTTCATTTTACTTTATTATAATTATTGTGTAAGTCGTAACGTGAAACAGTATTCGAATAGTTCGTGATGAAGTCATATCCGAACAAACAAGCTTTTCAAAGGAGAAAAAAGTTAAATATTAACGAGATTTAAAATGTCAACCTATATGGTAGTAGTATAATAAAATACCTATATATTTTTGTGGTATAAATAACCGCTAAATAATTGACAGCTGCTATATTATTTTAGAGTTTTAATCCTACATGAATGAGCGGATCATCGCGATGGCACTCGTTGAGGAGCACTTCAATTCTGGCGTGTTATGTGCCTATAATACCAGTACACATATTATAAAAGGTAACGTTCTAAACATATATGCTTATATATACACATAAAAAAAGGTTGATCATGACGTGACATTTCACACAGAGCACACTTTGACCGGGTCAGGTTATTCATATAATAGTCACTATGTTTGAAAGGTGGAAATTCACGAGAAAAGCTGATGTACCTCGGAGTGTAAATTTCAACTAGTCTCGATATTGTGTACACGGTTTGCAGTACGCTCTGAACTGTGCTCTGCTCTGATGTTATTGATTTTACAATGTTGTGTTCTTTTTTTTCTTTTTTTTAAACATAAAACACTACTTTAGGTCATAAATAACGATCAAGATATTTCTTTCGGCACTGCATGTATGTAGATTGTAAATCGAACATGGATTGTAACGTCAATTTTTCAATTCCCAAGAAGATTTTAAAAAAATTGTGAAAAAGAACGAAACACGTTGATCTTTTATTAAAACAAAATGCTGCAGAGTCATTTTGTGCAAAACTATAATCTCACTCAGGTTTGGTTTTTCAAGACGAACGAGAGATCATTTATTTGTGTAGGAATAATAAAAAAAAAAATTATCTCAAACATGCATGAAAATCAGTGAGATGAGTACTAGGTACCACCCTTTAATTACATTAATGTGGAGGTAATGCTGTGAAAATATTTTATGATTTTTTCATTTTTGTGCGAATTTAGTGTGCGTTTAGTCGTGGTAATAAGATTTTATATTAATCATTATTGTACTTCTGTACCTGATCATATAATAGAGAGCCAGTAGAAATGCACGGATTAGATTGAGATCGCTACAATAAGAATGAAATGAACCAATTTTTTAAAGTTATGAAGAAAATTTTGAAGGGATGTTAGCTACTTGTAACTTATTTTCTACTATAGAAACAGTTTTCCAAACGAGATAATTTATTATTGCTTTCAAATTTAATATCAAAATTACACAACAACTGTCTCAAGACAACGATACGAGAGGCTTTGCCAACATCCACGAGAACTATATATTCTTTAATTCTAAAATATTTGTGTTTCGTTTTTTAAACACACACGACGACATACGTATAGTCACTATAATAACCTTATTAATAAAAATTAAATTAAATAAGAATTGTAAAGGTCATAATAGTATTATACACCTTTATTATGATAATACATATCGGCAAAAAATGAATTTGATAGTTGACAAGTACCTTTAACTATGCAGAAATCAAGCTCTGTACATGTGTATATAATATACTTACTTGATTGATTTGGGTCCTTTTATAACGTAAATAGGGGAGAGATGTAACTCTCGATAGATTACTTAAAATTATAGTCAATTATCCAGAAAAACATTGTTCACTCATTTTCTAATATATAATACATGCAATTATTATTATTACTCGACCAAGGGTAAACAACGATATATGATATTGGTGGCGTGAAATTAATCGCGCACAAGAATAAACGGTGAGAGAGAACGGATAGTTGATGAGATTATTTTAATTTTTTTTTTTTTGCGTGTACTATTATTTATAACCATAATATTTGGTACATGTTAAATTAGGCTGCAAATGAAAAATCACAAGATCCCATACTATACCTAATATATAGACCAGCGTTTCTTAAACTGTGTTCCGCGGAACCTTGGGGTTCCGCGAAGCTTAAGTAATTTTTTTTAAATGTTCAAGAAAATTACTTTAAAATATCCAATATGGAAAATAATACTTGTGTATTAAATAATAATGTATAAGTCATATGGAATAATCTATCAGCCAACTCTATATTCAATAATCTATACTTCTACTTAATATTATAATTTATTTGCAAATAATCCTAAAAAAAACTAAAAAGGTAAAATTAAGAAGGGGTTCCACGATAAAAGTGGACATCAAAAGGGGTTCCACGGATAAAGAAGTTTAAGAAACGCTGATATATAGACAGTTGGTGAATCAGACACGTCATGACGGTGGTCATTCCGAGGTACCTTACTAACCTTATATAATTTTATGATATCACAATAATCAGTAAAATATTACACGAGCTATAAAACAAGGTGATGCCTATGTGAACGTCGCGTTTGGCGAATTTTTATATTTCTCGCCCTTGATCCCCGGCCCCCGCCACTCAATCGACGATAAAATAATAATATACCATGCGTACGGAATGACTGCGAGACGGTCGGAAGTGTGGTAGCTTGGAATAGCGTGTTGAAAAACTCGTCAGGAGTTATAAATTATATAAGCTGATTAAAATAAAATAAGGGAACGGTTCAGCTCCTTTAATACGGGGCGAGGCGATGACTTCGTTTGAGCTTGTATTTCCTAGTATAGGTCCTCTATTTCTTTTTTCTCCTATCACGCGATTTTCATTCGAAATCCGATATATATATATATAATATATATATATTCACACGAGTATAAATCACATTTTCTTTCCCTCCGACATAAACGGTTTAAAATAAATGACTACTGACGTAGTCGCGTTGGTCGCGCGCACGATCGTTCTGCTACCACACCATCCGACCAGTCTTAAGATTATTATTCTTATTATTACTTTTATTATTATTTATATATATATACTACTATATACACACAGAATATACAGATAGATAGATAGATAGGTAGGTTAGGTATAGAAAATGACATTTCGCACCCGAATACGATTTCAGATAAGGAAAATATACCAAATAGGCTTCGTCGGCGTGGTGGTGTTCTGTCTTATATATACATATATATATATATATATATATATATATGTATATGTATAGTGTTATCCATTTCTCGGGCAATATTCCTTTATATAATATTATCCTTTACTGTTCGCTAACACGCGTGTATTCTTCTCTTATTATTATTATTATGTTTTTTTTGTCACTGGCGCGCTGTCTTTTCCAGTTTATTTATATTTGAGTTTTTTTTTTTTTTCATCCACGACGTGAAAACAAACTTAAGTAAAGGAGCCGTATCACACGGTAGAAAACTTTTCAAACTTTTTATATACCTACTTAAAAGGAATATACTACGTAAACACATATATATATATATATATATATATATACGGTGAGTGTGTAGGTATATGTAAATTTGAATAATCTCGAGGAGAAAAACTTTAACTCATATATCTATATATATATATATAGATATCGTATAATATATACCACTGGCCGCCGCTACCGCTTGTTTAATTTTACACAGAAACGGTTATTTTTCATGCGCACCAGAGCCCGATAACATAAAAAAAAAAATTCTCAAAAACTATATTTATAATAATATGAAATTATACTTAACTAGTTATTTTTTACTGCACTGCGGCTGCCGAAATGATAGTAATATTATGATCACTGTCCGATAACCGTATACTCACGAGTCAGGGATGATGACAAACGGTAACAAACTCATAATATAATATTGACGGTTGCAGTAGTTTGTTATAAATTATTTTTCCGACCGAAATCGTGTCTGTTTTGGATTTGAAATTGAATTCGAAAATGAAATTAAAATATTTCTCTTGTTGTATACAGCACATAATATAGTGTTTATATTATACTTATATTCGTCCTATATATCGACCGACGTATCTCTCAGTCGATGTTTTGGTGGGTGGGGTGTATCGGTGTATGATGGAGTGTGTGGGTGAAAGTGTAACATGCTACCATTACGTGATTTTTTTTTCACACGCCATAATATAATATATATATTTAACTCTGATGTGTAGGTATTAACATTTTACATGAAGTATATTATTGTGTTTCCATGTAACACGACGTTATAGAAAAAGGAGGAAACGCGCGAGGATTTTATATATACGTGTATTTTTCAATATATTAAAATTGGTATAAAGGCGTTGAAACTATTTAACTTCGAAGTCAAATAATCACACACATACCCAAGAAAAACCATGTTAAATAATTATATTTTTATTGCTCGATTACAATGTTCTCGTAAATTAACAGTAACAGCAATTTTTTTTTCTTCAAATACATTATGGACATAATCATACAATGCTA